AAATTTGGGATGCACCTAGTAGCATGCCATTTATTTGGCATGCAGGCTTCTGAATTCTGGTGCATTTGTGAGTGCGGGGGTCATTATGTTACCGCTATGCGGTATGTAGTTTTCTCTTTACACTATGTAAATTTTAATGTAAACTTCTGTAAACGGGGTGTGTGTGTGTGTGTGTGTGTGTGTGTGTGTGTGTGTGTGTGTGTGTGTGTGTGTGTGTGTTATCTTCATATTACTTTAAACTGGTCTCCAACAATAGTATCTATATAAGATATAATATTATCTTTTATCACAATAATTTTTGAGACAACTGATCATCCAGTTAAATTGCTCGTGACAGGACTACARGTATCATGAATCCAGAGGAGGCAGAGTGGAACTCTGCTCCATTGATGATGACAAATGATTTACTCCATGTCATTTTCAAAATATGATAAATAAACTCCATTAAGCTTTTTTTTAGCATTATTAATATTTTCATTAACAGATTCTTCTATTAAATGCAGAGTTGAAAAGTATTTCTTTTTTCCACTGAAGAAAATGAAATGATTGAGAGATAAATGAGTGTTTGGACTCTTGCTCTGTCTGCAGTCGTCGCACTGGCAGAATGAGGACAAACGAAGAGGTGAAGATCATCAACCAGGGCCTGGAAGATGAGATGGTAAATATCATCTTTTAGTTATATTTTAATATGTTTTTCTTTTCGTTCAGAGCGTCACAGTGACCCTGTGATAGAATAGTGGAAGGAGATGGAAAAGAGAGAAATATATGTAGAAAATAGATGTCAGGGAGGTGACCTGGGGACCTTCCAGATGGTCCGAACAGTTCTACAGAATGGTTCCCGGGAGCCCYCTTCGCTGGGACTAGAGGTGGATTTGGTGAGACCTGCTCAGTGACTGGATCAGGAGCAGATGGGGGCAGATTTGGTGGGACACCTTCAGCTGTTGGAGCTGACAGAACTGAAAGATTTGGCTGGACACCCACAGTGGGCCTAGTCTCGGCAAAGGTGGGCCCTTTAGTGAATAAAGGTTGATGAAGGTGGGCCTGCAGGACCCCATCAGAGTCAGCAGCTTTCAGCTTGGTCTGGACCCACTGGAGAAAAGACTTTGACCTGGACAAGCCCTCCTGGACCCCTTGGTGATATGTACACAGTGGCACCCTCTTAAGGGCTCGACACACGGGCAGTGACAAACTACAGAGATAACGGCTGTCATCGCAGCCAGGGTGAAACCCGACACGTGGGACGCGATAGCGATCGCAGCATTGCGAATCGCGCTCTCAGGTCGCTTGTCTTCACAAAATTTGATTGGTTCTTGACTCTGAAGGCGGGTGTGCATTACGGACGTGTAAACTAAACAAATCTTGCGATGCTAATGATATTGAAAAACAAATAAACATCAAGATACAGTTTTATGAGGAAAAAATAAACTTCACCCTGGTGCCAATAAATTCCCACAAAGCTTTTTAGTAATCACTTGGTGAAAGTGTTAGCTAACGGCAGTGTGTAGCATACTCTCCTCTCATTGGTCTGTCAATGATACCCTCGCTGATTGGTTGTACGCTAAGCAACAACGACAAAAGTTGAACATTTTTCAACTTTCATATGTCGCGTCGCAAGCTCGCGTGTGCACGTCTACGTGTATGAGTGCGAAATTTCACATGCACTATTTTCGCCGGTCACTTAGCTGGAGGAGGGCAAGCGATTGTCGCCTCACCGCACAGGCTCCATAGGAAATGAATGGAGAGCGAGCGACGTCGCCTCCCGTGTGTCGAGCCCTTTAATCGTCAAGTGCCAAAAATAATCGATTAAAATTTTTCTGACGATTAATTACACATGGTACCATTTTGCCCAACGCTGACTCCCATTTCATTTTTATTTTATCTGGAAATAAAAACTTTCCAGATAAAATTCGCCTCCTGGATAGAGTAAATTTAACTGTGGTTGTATGAGAAGTATTAACGCAGACCATTCTGACACAGTGGTTTGTGTGCTCCATCACACGTGTATGACACAAATCACGTCACACTCCAGGACATATGAGACATRCGTATGAAGATGAGTGTGGCAGATATACTGTATACTGCAGGTAGACTAGTACCTCCCAACATTTTCAAAATTAACATTTTAATAATGYAGTTAAACACAAAATTACAATAACTATGGCCTTTAGAAAATAATGTTTAATAAATAAATATGTAATTATATAATAATTATAATAAAATATAACAAATATCATTTTGGAAATTCTAACTGCTCACTTTTACTCAATACTTTTACTTTTTAATATATAAGTACATTTTATGTCAGAAATTTAATTTACTTAAGTACAATAAATGTCAGATAAGTCAAGACTTTTACTCAAGTAATATTCTTAAAGGAGTCTTTAACTTTTACCAAAGTAATATGGTAAGACTAAGTACTTTTACTCAAGTATCCCTTTAAAGTACTTTATACAAGACTGAACTGAAATATACATAGATGGTCTTCTTGATTTTCTTCTTGAGATTGTACAAATTGTCATTAATAAAGTTTGACTAAAATGGTCTATCAGCCCACCATACAAATGGAAGTATCAGTGTGTTAACCTGAACATGCACCTGTGCAGGAGGTCTGGGGGTATCGGCCCTGTTGGTGGAAGATGATCCTGGTGGGCGTGGGGGTCATTTGCTCCGGTGGTCTTTTACTGCTGCTGCTCTACTGGCTGCCTGAGTGGGGAGTGAAGGGCACCTGCACACGCACCTCACTGAGGGACGCTCACACTTTGCTGCTCAGGACGACGGTAAAGAAACCACAACCACCCTGTGAAGATGAGTTCAGACGTTTTATTTGTAAATACTTAAACACCTGTGCTTCCTTTATGTAAGCAGAAATCAGGCCACACCTGTAAGTACAACAGCTGTTAGGTTTGTGTGTCGTTYACTCCACAGAGCTTGTTTTTGCCTGCTTTGTTCTGTCCTGATTTGTTGTGAAATTCTTTTTATGATTGCCACAGGATGAGTTCAGGCAGTGGTTTCGAGTCAAAGTATGTGTGATTCTGGCTCCAGGAAGAAAACCTTTTGATGATCTGGATACACCGGCCAAAACTCAGCTACAAAACGGAGACATAGACCACAGTGTTCGCTTTGTACACCAAAAACATCATGATATTCACCAGGAACATGTTCAGGTACTTTACAGCATGATATTCACCAACAGCATGTTCAGGTACTTTACAGAATGTATGTTTAAAAAAATCTGCTTTTAACAACAAAATATAATCACTTAATTTAACAAAAACTGTTTCTTCAGAAAGTATTCAAACTGCTTCATCTTGTTGCAGCCTAGTGCTACAGCTGTATCATTTCATTTTTCACATTAACATACACTCAGTACAATATAATGCCATCCATCCATCCATCCATCCATCCATCCATCCATCCATCCATCCATCCATCCAACACCAACCAACCAACCAATCTTCCATCCATTCGTCCGTCCATCCATCCATCCATCCATCCATCCATCCATTCGTCCATCCATCCATTCATCCATCCCGTCCGTCCATCCATCCCTCCATCCATCCATCCATCCAATCTTTCATCCGTCCGTCCTTCCATCCATCCATCCGTCCATTCGTCCTTCCGTCTGTCCGTCCATCCATCCATCCATCCATCCATCCATCCATCCATCCAATCATACCTCATCCATCCATTCATCCAACCATTCGTCCGTTCATCCAATCTTCCATCCATCCATCCAATCTTCCATCCATCCATCCAATCTTCCATCCGTCTGTCCGTCCGTCCGTCCATCCAATCTTCCGTCCGTCATCCGTCCGTCCGTCCGTCTGTTCGTCCGTCCATCCATCCGTCCATCCGTTCGTCCGTCCGTCCTTCCGTCCGTCCGTCCATCCATCCATTCATCCATCCATCCATCCATCCATCCAATTATCCCTCCATCCATCCATCCATCCATCCAATCATCCATCCATCCATCCATCCATTCATCCAACCATTGGTCCATCCATCCATTCGTCCATCCATCCGTCCATACAATCTTCCATCCATCCATCCAATCTTCCATCCTTCCGTCCATCCATCCGTCCGTCCGTCCATTCGTCCATCCAATCTTCTGTCTGTCATCCGTCCATCCGTCTGTCCGTCCGTCCGTCCGTCATCCGTCCATCCGTCCGTCCGTTATCCATCCATCCATGCATTTGTCCATCCATCCATGCATTTGTCCATCCATCCATCCATCCATCCATCCATCCATCCATCCGTCCGTCAATTCGTCCGTCCGTCATCCACCCGTCCGTCATCCATCCATCCATCCATCCATCCATCCATCCATCCATCTGTAGGGGTCACCTCGAGTGAAGAAACAAGATTTACTGCCTCGAAGCAGGCCTTGGACAGGCCTGACGAGAGGACAGGAACTCTGTCACAAACTGAACTCAATTTAGGCCATGACAGGTCATTCCAACCTAGAAGAGAACTCCTCAGTTCTCTTAATCAGATAATGGACAGAACAATCTCTTCTGTTCGTGATTCATTTGTTGTTTAACTAAGAATGTTTATGCATTTGTTAAATCATGATAAYGACTGTCACAAGAAAAGTGGAACCACTTATTTTCTTTTATCATGCCTTAAAGATTAATAATGTCATAAAAAAATCACAGAGAATCATTACAATGTTTTCATTGTGTTTTTATGTAAATCACTGTTTTTATTTTACTGTGAACACAGTAATATAATTGTGGATTTTTCTTGAGAAAATCTTTCATTTATCTGGACTGGAGAAGGTTCAGAATTGATTACAAGACAGAAATGTTAATTAATCATCATAAATGTTTTGCAGTGATTTCTCTTAGAGTCTATCAGAAGAAAGCTGAAAAAAGGTCATCATCCTGTTGTGAACAGCCATAGAACTTTAAGCTTGGGCTGGCGCCCTGGCAAATCTTTTATCTTTCTTTCTCCGACTCATCTCTAAGCTGAGGGCGGAACCAAAGATCATCCGTTTCTTTTACTAACCCGGAYGGCTTTGAGCAACACACTCTTCTTCCTGACTCCAACCTAGGAAGAAAGCTGGGTTTTCTCTCCGGAGAAGAACTCAGTTTGGCTTTTAAGTCTTAGCCCATGAGCTAACTAGGGAAGACTCGGCACGCCAGCTGGTCCCACCCCGAGGCTTCAAGCCTCTAAGTGTGTTTTTACCTCCCGTGGGGAGATTTTATTTTGAAAAGAAGGAACCGGATGTACAGCTTGAATTTTTCTGGCTTGGACTGAAACAGACGAAAAGTTACCTGAAAAACACCTACATCGCCAATGACCGGTAAGCGAGCCGATAATCAGTTCCCTGGCTGATCGAAGGCGAGACTGTTCCTACCAAGCGGGTGTCTTAAGAAGACATCACCAGGCAAAGCTGACGTGTTCGGGGTGACGTGTCATGTGGATTCCTGAGCGCAGAAAAGACGTGCTGATCCAGTTGAACTACACTTTGATAAAGTAAAAATAGTAGGAACCTACTAAACTTACTTTCCTCCTTTTCTTGTCTTTATTTGCCAAAACTTAAGCTGAAAGTGCCAGTAAAATTGTTTGGTTGTTAACATCAGAACCAACGTTTTACTGTTCTATATAAGTAACTGAGTTGATGTGAATTGAAATTCGGACGCAAGTTTTATCTCATTTTAACTTTGACACTTTTTATAGGAATAACCACAATCAAGTGTACTTATGATTTGTTCAATTTGTGTAAATAAATGATTGCATAGTCTTTTATCAATCAACTTGAACTCGTCTGGACRTTCACTTATTGTGCCACTTTTCACTTCGCACAGCCAAGAAATAATGAGAAATACCTTGGTAAAAGTTTCCTCAAAACCTTGGGTATGAGAGATGTGGGAGAAGCTTAATACCACCTTAAGTCCCCCTCCTACATATTGGTGGTCCGAATGGTACCATTTTAATGGTAACTCGTAATATTTTTCTCATGAAAAAATATCTTCTGTGCACYGTGGAAAAACAGTTTTTCCTCATGTTGGCAATAGACAAAGTGTTGTTATAAGACTTTTTATGGCTGATTGGTGCTCAGAGAATAGAAAAAAACTGCAGATTTTGTCGTTTTCTGTCATTTTTGAAGTTATAAACACGTCTGTAACATTAATTATTGCTTTAATGTAAGCTCTTCATGGCTTTTCAAGGTTATGACGTCAGACCTAGATGAAGTCGCTTTTTCTCTCTCATTATAGCTGAAAGCTATTTTTATATCCATAATCTGCACTGTGGAAGCCAGTTTATGATTTATTTGCATGCTTGTTGTCTGTATTGACATTTTTATTAAGGATCCTAAAGCCAGTATTATTCACATCTTAACAGGTGTATAAATTAATCTGGTCGGTTAGTGTTTGTATGTGTTTTCCTACAATACACATTTTTATATAACCATACTCCGCTAACAGTTAAATGAGTTTGGCCATTCATAAAGTGTTACACTACGTTCATTGTAAATGAATTAATGTGAGGAGTTAGTAGCGACACGGAGCTAACGAGAGATAGCTCAAGGCTACTCCTGGATAGGAAAAACTCGAACGAGTCGTCCAGATAGATGGCTGAAGCGCCGTCTCGGTCAGCTGTGAGCGACCATAACCTATAAAAAAGTGTCGTTAGCCACATTGAGAACTCGGTGTGTGTTTTAAGGCAAACTTTAGCAGGATTGTGACTCCGGAGCTGTCATCAGTCCGAGCCACAGAGGTAAACAGGAGTGCGCACCGCGTGCCCGCGTTCACCTCGGTGCAGCTTAAAAAGAAGCTGTTTTTATCTGCTGGCGTGGTCAGAAAACTATTGCTGGTTGATTCTTGAAATGCTGTGTTTAGGAGGAAGTGTCCATTCATGGGCCTACTGGGGATGAGCTGCTACTGAGACCTCGCGAGAGCTGTGCGTGAGTAATATGGCGGNATGAGCAAAAGTAGACCAACAGGTTGTGCCGCCATTTAGGCTAATGAGGCTTGATGCATGTGTTCTCCTTAGGCTTATTCCAGGACTCTATAGCCTCAGACTAACTAAAACAAAGTAAAGCCACATTCATGCAAACTGCTTGAATGCCGAAGTTTAACAAGTCCAGAATATGCCTACTCTTGTCTTAATACAAGCCTTGTTTGCGAAACCGGCCCATAGTGTTTGTTCACATCACATGCATCTCCCACATGAGACCGAGAAGTCCCATAGAGGGGTGAGGATAAAGTTTAAAGAGAGAGAAAATAAAACCGATGGTTGAAATTTTAAAAGTCAAGTTTACCAGTTAACTTATTGTAGTTAATTAACTACA